CAGGCCCTGGCACGGCACGGCCAAGCGCTGGACGCTTGCCACTGGGCCCCCAGTGCGCTGGCCAGCAGCAAGCCGGGCGCGGATGACTTGGAGCACTTCATCATGCACTCACGTGGTGTCCCTGATGACACCAAGCAGTTGGCTTCCTTCCTGCATGGCAATGCCTCCCTCCTCTTCAAACGGACAAAGCCGGTGGCGGAGAGCGGTGGCCATGGGCCCCCTCACCCCTCCGACAAAGCCAGCAGCATCCAGTCCCGGCCCCTGCCCTCCCCGCCCAAGCTACTGGCCCAGGAGTCGCCCGACGGGCCCTACGAGAACAGTGAGAGTGGCTGGATGGAGGACTACGACTATGTCCATCTCCAGGTGGGCACGGGCAGGGGAGTCACTCCCCACAGGGAGCGTTTGTGCTGGTGCCTCCCCAGCACAGGGGGATTAGGCAGATCTGCTTCTGCCACACATCTTGCTCTTATCCTCCAGCTTGAGGGTTGTGGGGATCAGGGGTGTCCTGGGGCAGGTGGGAGCTTGCTCTGGCAAGGCTGATGTTGCTGACCCCTTCCATGTCATGCTCCTGCAGGGCAAGGAGGAGTTTGAGAAGACCCAGAAGGAGCTGCTGGAGAAAGGCAATATCATCCGACAGAGCAAGGACCAGCTGGAGCACCAGCAGGTAAGGGCACCAGGGTAGGCAGGTAGGCACTGCTGGGCACAGTGCCCAGAGCAGGCAGGGCCCCAGGTCCTGCTTCCCTCATAACCTCTGCTGCCGGTCTGACCACAGCCCTCTTCCCTGTCTGTCCCAGTGGAGGGTTTTGTCTTGCCTTCCATACCATACCAATGCTGTGCCAGTGGAGAGGGGTGTGGTATAGTTGTCCTGAGGCTGGCGCTGTCCCTCACTCTTTTCCCTGGGGCTGGTGGCCATGGCCACCCGTGCTGGTGGCTCCGGGGAGGGGGAGCAGGTGCTGGCTCGGTGGCCCCCCTGCCTCACACTCATCCCTCCCACAGCTGAAGCAGTTTGAGCGGCTGGAGCAGGAGGTGTCGCGCCCCATCGACAATGACCTGTCCAACTGGAGCCCCTCCCAGCACTACGGCCCGGCGCGGGGCAGCGGGGCCCTGTGTCCTGCCGACCGCCAGCTCCTCCTCTTCTACCTGGAGCAGTGCGAGGCCAACCTTACCACGTTCACCAACGCTGTTGACGCCTTCTTCACCGCCGTCAGCACCAACCAACCCCCCAAGATCTTCGTGGCCCACAGCAAGTTCGTCATCCTCAGCGCCCACAAGCTCGTCTTCATTGGGGACACACTGTCCCGCCAGGCCAAGGCCCAGGATGTCCAGCACAAGGTGATGCACTACAGCAACCTCCTCTGTGAGATGCTCAAGGAGATCGTGGCGACCACCAAGGCGGCCGCCCTCCACTACCCTTCTCCTACCGCGTCCAAGGACATGGTGGAGCGCGTCAAGGAACTCGCCAACAGCACGCAGCAGTTCAGGATGGTGCTGGGCCAGCTGGCAGCCATGTGATGGCCTCAGGGCCACTGTCCCCTCTCTCTGGCCCCCACCCCTCCCCAGACATGTGTTCCCCTCCATGGGAGTCCTCTCCACCTGGTGTAAGCGGACATGTACATAGAGACTCATGCACACCGGGGGGCTGGGGCTCCATGGGGAGGGGAGTGATGGGCTGCAGCCATCATCTCCTTCCCTCTTCTTCCCTCTCGCCGGAGGCCAGGAATGGTTTCAGAGCTGTGCCCGTAATGAAGCAAAGCTGGGAGGTGCATCTATGCCCTATCCTTCCCTGCTGTCCTCTCTTATACAAAACCTGCAGCCGGTCCTGGTCTGGAGGGCATGGGGCCGTGTCCCTCTTGAGACAAGGATGTGCCTGGCAATTTGAGGTGTTGCTGTGGCTGCCCCGCTCTCGGGGGGACACCAGAGCCACTCTACAGTGGCCAGCAGATTCTAATGGTGTGGAAGCCATCCCCTGTGGTGGTGGGACAGCATGACGCAGATAGGTTGTACTGTCCCCCTGTGTGCTGGAGCCTGGGGATAGGGGTCCCCAGGGGGGTAAGGGATGGTGGGGAGCTGCTGGGGCAGGAAGGGGCTAACCTGTGCGTTCTCACGTCTCGGGGTGTGATACAGTACCAGCTGTAACCGAAACGTGAACTGAAATTGGTGCCTTTTGAACACAGGGGAAGCTTCCGCTGGTTCCCGGAGCTACAGCGTGGCAGCCCCCTCCAAAACTTGGCCCCAAGTCCCCCAGCAGCATAAAGATTTACCTACAAATGCCCTCCATCTCCTGGGTATCTGCATGTGCCTGCTGAGGCGAGGGAGAGCCCGTGGTGCAGGGCTGGGGGGATCCTGTCCCCCTAAAAGATCTCGTAGCCAATGGAGACTGCTGGTGCACAGAGGTTTAATGGGGCATGTGGGGGGTTGGGGGAAATGAGGGGTGGCAGTGCAGGGCAGTGGGGCCACTCTGGCTCTGGCTTGAGGTGGGGAGGGCATCTCTCACAGCACATTCATGGCCCACCATGGCGGCTGTGGCTTTGGTGTGGTAGAGAGGGTGGTAGCCCTCACCCCCAGCCTTGGTGGTCCTGGGAACCCATCCCTTCCAGCACCTTTGGGACACCAGTACCCAGGCCTCATGTGGAGCCCAGAGTACTGGGTCCATGGCACTCTCAGTCCTAGGGGCATCCCTGCTACAACTCAGGGACCATGGCAGACCCTTGGACCCCCCAGCATCCCCAGCCCAAA